TGGGATGGGAAAGCCTTCTGCGTTAACTCCTCCCTGCTGAATAAAAACTTTGCCACTGGACTTCAAAGCATCTCTTACCTTTCCCCGGATTTAAACCAGTTTGATTTAAATCTGACTGTGTGATGTCCTCCTTTCCTTACTGGGCCACGAAATAACTAAAAACAAGAACATCATTAGAAGACTTGGAACATGCTAAGGGGCTTTAATTGGCCTTTTAGACATGAAACAAGCAAAAAGAAAGTCTTGATGGCTGTGAAAGGTCCCTGAAATGTGAAAAGGAAAGGTGTATCCAACAGGCAAAGTAGTACAGAGCGTGGATTGTAATTAGAAATATGAAAAGCAAACCAGCAAACAGCTGACTTAGTGGATTGGAGTTCTCTGTAAAGAAGTTGAAGTTAAAAGAGAATAAAATTAAGCTAAGAAACAAAAGAGATTATAGAAGACATTGAACAAAGCATTTTTAAACAATAAAAGTTCCAAAAATAAAAGCATAGAAAAAGGAGATTAAAGAGACAGCATTTAGTCAGATACAAATAAAAATATGAATTGGAAAAAAAACCCAATAGAATTGGAGCCCTAACTTGCTTTCACAGAAGCAAAAGAGGATTTGTGAAAATGAAAAGTCACCTGTCATTAAAATGCCCTTATAAAGAGACAGAGGAGGATGGACACCAGCCTGGAGGGTAAAATGTTAATGAACATTGATGCTACAGCAGCAGCCAAATGCACCAGTGAAGGGAAACTCCACAGCCACATGGGCAGGAGACAAAGTATTTAAGGAAATTAGTGTGGGAAAATTGGAAACGAGTCTAGGGAAACTAGGAAAAGAGGGGAAGTAGAAGAAACTTTCTGTGCAGTTTAAAATGGGCAGACTTTGAAGAAATGTATCAAAAGTGTAAGATTAAAGAATCTTAACAGATCAAAACAGTAAGTAAAACATTTTAAAACAGACAATTAAACAAAGTAGGTTTGATAATCCCAAAAGTAGGAAGAAAGGTTGTGAAAAGCTCGTAATTTTGAACACAGCAAGTAAACACCAGGAGCTATGTAAGAATTTGAAGGACGAGTCCTGTTCAGAAATGAACCTGTATTTATGCTCTGCTGGGTTTGTGGCTTGTTTTGTGCCTCACTAAGTAGAAACAGCAGAAAATTAATTTTATCTTCCAGGGTAATATACAATACTATGTATAGCTGAAAAACCTCAGTAGTTTTGGCAAGAGAATTTTATTTTAAAATGTAAATAATATTGTGGGCATTGATATATCATTCGGCCGTTTAAGGGATGTGGCTGCTAGTGCATTGGTTCAACCAACTTTAATTAAAAGGTTTAATTTAAATATCCCTTTGCAAAACATATTACATTAGCATATCTAAAAGCCGTGACGGGACTGAAGGAATTAGATTTGTCTAGTTGAAAGACAAGACTCAAAAAGTCAGACAGGGGATATTTTCAAAGGTTATTATACAAACAGAGGAGAACAGGTTTTTAAATGTCCATTTGAAAGAAAGAAATATATTGTAGAAGGACATTAAATTGTTTGGGGGGGAATGGTGACAAGGGGAGCATTAGTACAAATAGCTGAGGAAACTTGGTCTCCATGGCTGGAAGAGTTTCATCACATAGAGAGGAGACTTCCCCCAGAAAGCCTCGTGTGCACCAGTCCTGTTGTTTCTCTTCCCTGACAGTCTGTCATTATCCTATTTTTTAGATTTAGCAAAGATTTTATTGACAAATATATGAAGCACCTGCCATTCTTCCATTCCTGAGAGAGCTCTCTCTGGCTGGGGCTGCTCTCCAGCAGTGGTCACAGGGCAGGGGAGGTGCTCAGGTTCTTGACATTCCTGAGTGGGAGTAGAAAAGCCAGGGTAAGTCTGACAGTGCTCTAACTCCATCACAGCTGGGTTCTCACCGTTAAACAAGGGGAAATCTGTTGCCTGTCTCTGTGTGGATGGAGTTGGGTTACCTCCTTGCGCAGTTGGTCTGTGGCCTCTTCAGCTGTGATGAGCGGAATACTGAAGTGCTCCTGGGCATTGCACACCAGGTGGAAATGCTTGGAGCATGTTGCTCGAGATGGACTTCTTGATGAACCTGTATAGGAATGTTCTGCAAAACAAGGGCAAGTGTACACATAGTGGACAAAAGCTGGAAACACCAAAGGAACTTTGACTAAAAAAAGTTTGGTGCCTTGCTTTTTACATGCTTCTGAATGATTTTTTCAATTCAGCTCCCAATCTGTGATTAGGAGGGTGTGTATATGCACACTTGGGTGACTAAACAACAGAAGAACCTGGTGTACTAACACAAGCCTGCAGAAAATCCTGCGTGCAGGGTGTCAGTTATTCATCATGACACTGAGGAGACTTCTCTGATACATGAGATATATATGGATCTAAGTGACCAATTGATGAAAAACATAAGTATGGAAATAAGATCTGGGTTCTGTGTTAGGAAAAAAGAATCCATCTTTAAAAATAATTTGTGACATAGATCAGAGAACTGGTATAGGTGACAAACAACACAGAGCTAGCTGACAGAGCTCTGCAGAAATAGCATGTCACTGTTCAGATGTACTCCATGCTCTATTAGTGGGGGGCTGATCTGTGTTGGTTTGTGCTGTTTAAGGTGCAGCAGGGTCTGACCAATTAGAAGCAAATGAGCAGGTTACACATACAGCAGTTACTGAACTGTCCCTTCCTTCAAAGCACACTGACCTGGTCTGAGAGCCTCTTGCTCTCCTCTTCTTTGTGTCCTGGGGCTGGGCTGCCCCAGGGATGCTTGGTTTGCCTGAACTTTTAGGGTGACTTTGAATGTTTAGTTCATAGATAGAGGTAGAACATACCAGTCACTCAAATGAGGAGTAAACAGTTGACACAGCAGCCTGAGCCTAATTCCTAATAAAAACTATCTGTAACAGTCAGAGGAGAAACCTGCTCTCAGCTGCAGAGTGGGTCAGAATGAGCTGGAGATCCCTGGTCTCACCTACCATAACTAGCCTGGACATCAGGAGGCAGACTGGTTTATGTGTGACAAATCTGTGAGCAAACTCAGTTGCCAATTAGCAAATGCAGTACATTAAAATGTATTTTGTTAGAATGGTTACTAATTGTAGTATTTTAGCTGTTGGAGACTTACCGTTTGGCCAAAACCTGTCTGTGCTGTTGCTTTGCAGATTTCCAGTCTGGATAAAAGAAACCTGAGTTCCTGTTCCAGTTTCTGACTCAAGAGCTGAGCTCCTGGAATGGAGACGTACCTTGGGAGGTAAATTAATTGCCTTAACTATTGGAACATAATGGATAAAATTAGATTTCACTTCTCTTTCATACCAAATGTTTTACCTTGCCTAATTTACCAGCCCTTTAGCACCTCTGGTTTCCTTCTTGCCTCTGCAATTCCTTGGAGACACATATGTCCACAAGATGGTACTAGGCTACAAGTAGCCCCTACAACGGGTGGTCAGTGAAGGATGTTGAAATTGCTGCTGGTCAGGTATCAGCAGAGCAGCTCACTAGTTTTGTTTCCTGGGAGAGGCAGTCAGGCCAAAATACTTGTTTGTTTGGGTTTTTTTAATGATACAAAATTCTGATAGGAATCATAACAGATCATTGCTGTGGCTGATGCTCTGCACACTCACACCTGTTTCATACCAAATAGCTTCATTACTGTCTTTGGAGCCACTTCCAATTTAAACTAATAAACTAATTTAGGAAAGAGAAGAATGAGACCAGGAATTGTAGTAGCTTTATGAATCTGTGTTTTGGTACATTTAAGAAAGAGAAATTTGACCTAATGTATTATAAATACCTCATTTGCTTTAAGCAATTATTGTAATCTATCACATTGATGCAGCCAACACAAACATGCACTACATTTCTCATGCTAAAAAATTGTTCGAAAAGGCTTGAATAAATTGTTAATACTCTATAAGCTGCTGGTGAAATAGCTCAATGATTAGCTCTTCTCCTCTTCACATGATTCAAACGCATTAGTGACACTGCTGACTAATGACTTGCAAAATTTTTGTTAAAGGCACAGGTGCATTTTTAAATGGCAGCCCAGTTCTGAAGTCAATGGCATTTCAGGCTTTGAAACCAAAAATCTTTATTACATTGGTTTATGTAAAATTACTGCTTGATTTTTTTTTTAAATAACACTCCACATATAATCATGTTAATTATGCTGTGATTTTAGATTCAAGTTACTCCTGAAAAAAAACTTTTCATAACACGATTACTGAAATACTGTTAATCCTGACTGTGTGAACAAGGCTGCAGTGTTAATTAAAGACGGTGAACTGCTTTCTCAACAGCACTGTGCGAGTGGAGTGATAAACACAGCCCCTGATAGCTTGTAAAACATTGATAGTTACTGATCAGCCGCAGGAGCTTAGGCAGTATAAAGGGTGAGCGGTTCCTGCGAAGGCAGGTGCCCACCTTTGGCATACTTCGTTCTTGTTTCACTCATTTTAATACAATTAAGCGGAGATGACCACATCAGTGTGGTCATAATGAAATCCCTCAGTGGGAGATCTGAAGTAATGAGGAGAGCGCGCAATTTGTGACTCGAGGCCATTTAAAAGAGTCCCTGTGTTTAATTGGCTTAATAAAATCACGATCATGAATAAGGCTGTCACTGTGGCAGGGCACTGTAACAGGGCCCACGGAGGGATGCTCACGACCCGCGGGCCGGACCCAGCGTGGTCCAGCCGTGCCTTTCCGTTCCCGCGGGAGCTCCGGGGTGATGCACGCAGGGAACACGAGCTGCGCGATCCATCTGTCCCGCAGGTGTCCCCGCGGGCGCGGCCCCTCGGGGGGCGGGGTGCGGTGCGGGGGGTGCCGGCGGCGGCGGCGGGGGCCGGGCCGGGCGGAGCGGGCCCGCCCAGCGGGGCGCGTCACGGCGCGGCGGCGGCGCGGCGGGGCGGGGGCGGCGCCGGCCGCAGTCGGCACGGGGCGGGCAGCGAGCGGCGCGCCGGCTGCGCGCACCCCGCACACGGCGCGCTGCCACCGAGCGAGGGAGGGAGGGAGGGAGGGAGCACCATGTGCCGGCCCGCGCTCGCCCGGCTGCTGCTCCTCCAGCTGCTGCTCGTCAAGCTGCACCTCGCCAAAGGTGGGTCCGGGCGGCCCGGCCGCTCTCCCTCAGCGCCGGGGTGGCCGGTGCCGCCGGGGATGGGGCGAGCGTCCTGCGGGCGCGGGCACCGCGGGTGTGCGGCCGCCGGCACCCGCTCGCCGCGGTGCCCTGCGCGGGGTTTGGGACCTGCGGGGCCGGGCGCGTTTTGGGGGTTGCGACCTGCGGGGGCCGGGCGCGCTTGTCAGCGGGCGAATGTGGAGCCCGACCGCTGGTGACAGGAGCTGCCACCTTTAATCCCTTTCAGAGGGGATTTGTGCCTCATCAGAGCAGCGCGGCAGCGAGTCCGCAAAGCAGATTTGCTGCGTTCCCCCCCCCGCCCTCAACTTGAGTTGGGTCAGGTCCCTTTTCCCGGGACGGCGCCGTTGCCTGTTTTACTCCCGCGTCCCCAGGTATCGGTGCATTTTGTCCCGGTAAGGGATGCGCAGGAAGTCCCAGCATCGCTGGGCTTTATAATTTTTCTTTGTCTGTTGTATTTCGCGTTTAACCATCTTCTGTTCCCAGGCTGCTTTTCCCTCCGCCTTTAAAACAATGCGGGGGAGCACGGGAATGGCCCCTTTTATCCCTGCACAAAGCAGCTTCGGGATCGCCGCCGTGCTCCCACGGAGGCGCATCTCCCTCAGCCCCTGCCCGAGCCGCTCTGCCCCCCGAGCCCAGCCCCGGCCCCCGCCCTGGGCCGGCGGCGGCTCCCGCCTCCCTGCCCGGGCTGAGCGCGGCCGGGGCCGGTGGGTCCGGGATGCTCCCGGGATACCCCCGGGATGCCCCCGCTGCCCGGCCGTGGGAGCGCGCCCCGCTGACCCAGGCGCGGCCCCGTGTCTCGTAGGCGCCGTCAAGGAGTGCGAGGAGGACCAGTTCCAGTGCCGGAACGAGCGGTGCATCCCCGCCATCTGGAAATGCGACGAGGACGATGACTGCTCGGACAACAGCGACGAGGCGGATTGCCGTGAGTGTCCGTGCCCGGCGGGGCGGGGGGCCGGGAAGGGCGCGATTCCCAGCGCTTCCCAGCTGCGCTGCGCCTCTTTTTATGAATGAATGAATGAAGTCGCGCCGTGCCCGGCTCCGGCGCCGATTGGCTGCCGGGAGCAGCAGATCCGTGACGCGCCGCGGGGCAGCGGCTCCTTCGCTGCCGGCCCGGCCCGGCCGGGACACCCCAGCGGGAGCGGCAGCGGCTGCCCTCGCCTGCCGGACCCCTCGCCTCCAGCAACGTCCCTGCTCAGAGCGTCTACAGCGAAGTTTGTGTCCTCGGGGAGTTGGGAGTGATGTTTAACCCCCCTGGGAGACCGCGCTCAGGGCCAGGGCTGGGTGCTCATGGGAAACGCTGCTTACTCAGAGGCATCCTACAAGATTTGGGGTTGGTGTGAGTTTGTGTTTAAATATGTTCGCAGTCGTGGCGAGGAAGGAAATGAACAAGTAGCACTGCTTGGTTTGGCAGTGTCAGCCACGTAACTCTGATTCCCTGGCAGTGTAAGGGAAGAAGAGAGCAAGATCTATACTTTCAATCCTGAGAAGGTGGCACTCTTGACTTCCTCCTGTGGTGTGGCTGAGGTGTGTGTGATTGGAAGCCTGTAAACTTTGGGTAGTTAATAGGGTTGTGCTGTTATTTACCTGAGTTTGCTTACAGCTTCTGACAGCCTAGGAGAATTTGGCTCAACTATGGAGTTTAAGAAGCATCTGTAAAAGAAATTATGGAGTCTAAGTCTTGGAGAGGAGTATCTTTAATTTGACGCTTAAAGTTTAAGCAAATATTGTAGCAAGTACCACATCTCATGAATTATCTCTGCAGGATAATAGATGCTGAATGTGCATCAGGTTAAACAAACTCTTCCGAGTTCATAGACCCAGTGAATGTATCAAGAAAAGAACTACTGGTTATGTGTTTTTCTGTATGTGACTGTACTGCTAACAGCTTTACCTGTAAATCTGTGTCAGGGGATATTCAGAGGTGAAGTCTAAGTAGATTAAGGAGAGCAGGGATTCTCAAACTCTTGTTCACAGAGAACATCTTGTTACAGTGTAAAATATAACATTTATTTCTGGTGCCTTTGTATTCAGAGAACTTGATAGGCTTTATATGTGCTTAAATGTATGACCTGGGGAGTTAGCAGCATTAGTTAATTGAGATATATAAAGGTTTTTACAGGAATTATAATGACAGTATTTCGAGGCAACTTAGATTTGGAATGTTTCAAGTTACAAAAGAGCCAGGGAAGCCAAGGCTGACTGAGAACCAGCTGGGACTCCTGTAGTCATAACCAGGCATGCTTTCTCACAAGTGTACGTGTTTCCAGAGGGAGACACTGATCCGTGAAAGCACTGGGAATCTCTGAGCAGGTAGGCAGTGGTGTTCTTGAAGTCTTCAATTTAAAACTTCTGGGTGTACAAAGGCTTGGTGAGCTGCAGGTGACCTGTGGGCTGTGCTTTGGGAACTGCTTCTCAGAGATTGGGATCGGAACTGGAGGAGCTTCTTGAACAGATTCTGCACCTCACACTCCTCAGTGAAGAGCAGGTTTGTGGCTTCAGCTCCTGGCCCTGCATGAGTGGGTCAGTACTTGGGCTGCTTTATCTTCTCCTTTTCCTTCTCATCAGCCCTCTAACCACTGTGTCAGAAGAGAGAGTGTGGAACAACGCCCCACTGAACATCAGCTCTGTGTGAATTGTGCTGTGTTACAATGGTTAGATAGTTAATTGCATCTGATTTAGTTTTATTTCAGAGAGGCTTTACAGTAGTTGGGTTTGGGGCCAGAAAAAAATATGATGGCTAGATTGTGGTAGAATGGTGACTTTAGAGAAGTTAGGAAAAAAATTTTGGATGTGGATATATCAGGAAGAGTTCTTCACTTTAATCTGAGTTTGGCATTTATTATTGATCGGGGATCATACTACAAAATTTACTAACGAACTGTTAGTTTAGTTCATAGATATTTATAGACTTTGCAGTTGCTTCTTCGAGCAGTCTGAAAGACAAAAATTGCATTTCTCACACACATTTTTCTCACTTATATTGTTCTGAACACTGTTTTATTTTGAAAATGCATACTGCTTTTCAGCATATGGAATGCTTAGAGTTCTATTCACTGGGTGAAAGAATACGTTCCATGTGTTTCTGCTTCTAGATATCACCTCTGTTATCAGTGCTGTAATAAACATATTTATTTCAAAACTATTTTATGTACATATGTGATGGAAGAAACTGTTCTGGAGAACTTGGCATGCTGGAATGGTAATGGAGGGGGAAATGAATATGCAGGTAGCCTGCTGACAATGAGTGCTGATAAGGACCCTGATAACCTCTGTAATTACTTGCTGATTCTTCTCCCCAGAGTTGAAAACGTATTTGTAATAGCTCATTACTGCTTGTCTATATCCTCCCTTATTGAAGAGACACGATGGTCTGTCTGTGTGAACAATTGGTTTATGGACCCAATTCCTTGTGGCAGGCAGTGTATATACACTGGAAAATTTCGTAACCAAGTGTATCTTAAATAGTTCTCTGGAAGGAGATTTTTTTTTTGTTGGCAGGTCTCTGTGTGGTTCCTGCTAGAAACCATCTTTGTACAAGACTGAATTTTTGTTTGTTTGCTTTTATTTGTGTCCCCTGTTGTGTTGGGTGTCCCATGTCTGTCCCTGGTTTTCCCCCCATCCCTGAGATTTGCAGGTATAATGCTGGCTTTTTTAAGGGAGTTTTGGACTCCAAGGAGAACGTTCTGGTAATCAAACTGCATCTTCTCCTTGGAATTTGCTTTCCATTCAGTAATCCTTTTCTGATTTGGTTGGTAGTTCAAGTTATCTACCATAATATGGCAAACATTGGAACTGAAACATGAAAATTAATGATTTCCACTCTTAGATTGGTCAGTACTGGTTTGTAAGGAGTGTTAAGTTTACTCAGGACAGGGTTGGCTTTCTGGGCTACCAGTGCACGCAGCTGACTCATGTCCAGCCTCTCATCCACCAGCACCCCAAGTCCCTCTCAGCAGGGCTGCTTCCCATCCCTCCATCCCCAGCCTGGACTGAGCCCGGCAGTTGTCCCGACCTGGGTGAAGGAAACAGAGTAAATTGTTGAAATAGGAAGATGCCTTTCTGCTGTCATGTTTTCAGAAAGCTACAGCACTTTGAGGGAAAGAAAATAAGCGAGTAGAGATATTCCTTAAAATGTCCCTGTGCATCTGATGAAAGGAAACTAAGCTCTCAAGAGGAAAATAGTGAATGTTGCATTGTTTAGATGGCTGGGGGAATCAAGTCTTAAACTCTGGAATCAGAAAGCTTGGGTAGCTATTACAGAGTTTAAACCTTTTTTAAGGCTATTTACTCTGCTCTTTGCAAAATGATTTGTTTGAGCTCAATCCAGTGTAGGCCTGGGAAGACAAAAACCCGGTCACAACTTAGAGCTTGCACTGCCACAGTGTGCACTGTGTGTGATCCACACAATGAGGACAGGGCTCCAGGGCAGTTCTGAACATGATTTTTTTAGATGCATTTAACTCCTTCCCTGTGATGCTTTTTCCTCTCAGGAAACTCTGGAAAGGGAAGACTGAATTTTATAACCTATTTCAGAGAACATTTGCAGATACACAGTCATCGAGACTTTTCCGTTATGGTATAGAAGCATCTTGATAAAACATCAAAACTATTTTTAGAGTGAGAAAAATGTCCATTTTCTGAGGCACAGTGCTCGGGATGAGATACTGGGGATGTGGGATGCTGACTCTTGTTCAGTGTCTCCCTCAGGAGAGGTGGAGGCTGCAGAGCCTCGTGGTCCCCATGCTGAGTGCCCAGGGTGCTGTGTGACACATCACCCAGAATGGAATATCCTAGAGAGCTGCTTCCATGGGGGAGTGGCTCTGGGAGACTTTTTGCCCCGTTTTGCAAGTTTCTTCTTGCTTGCCACTGCAGCCAGTGGAAAACAAGGAAGAACTTGCAAACTGCAGCCAGGCACAAGATATTTGACGCAAAATAGGAACTCTTTGATAGTTGTGTTTCATAGGATTTTATTTTTCTGATGCAAGTAGGGTTCACATTATCTTAACCCAGACCAGAGTATGGGTGAAAGAGACTGGAAAATCTCTGCCTAAATGTTTTACTGGTGATTAAACCTTAAATGTGGCAAGGAGTATAGTTGCAAAACAATCAGTAGCTTTACCAGTTTCCTAAAATGAAACACAAGCTTCAGGCCCACTTCAGCTTTGTAATACCTGCCTGCAGGGGGACACAGCCAGATGCAGAATTGCTATTTCTCCTTTAAAGCTCCATTTCCCATCTTTGTGTTGAGATCCTCTCTGCAGTGCTGCTTTCTGGTGAGTACTGTTCATAGGAATATTTTGTGCTGGACAGGACTGAGGCTGCCTCAGATGCAGTCTGAAGGGAGTTCCTGTTTCCAAAACTGTTTCTGTGTGTACAGAATTCAGGGTAAACGTGGCATCGGCAAACTTCCCCCCAGCTCAGCCCTCCCCTGCCTCGTGGCCACAGTAGGTGACTGTGCAGCTGAGGACACTTCCCTTGCCGTCCGGAGGAGGGATTCCTGTGCTCCTGCTGGGTTTGAGCTGAGAGTCTGCGGAGAGTTTGACTCTGCTGCCTGGGTGAAAGCCCAGGAGGCAACCTCAGTCCCTTTGCTTTTCAGTGCACACTTCATTACAGCTGGAATTTGGGAGTAAAATTACATCAAAAAGCCTAATTGAGAACTGAATTCTGGATCCTGTGAAGAGTTAAATGTGGCCTGGGTGGTTTGAAATGCTCAGGCAGAGTGTGATGCTGTGCCTGGCTGCAGGTTTTAGGACGTGACACAGTGAGACAGCCAGCAGTCACAACTGCAGCAGTATTCTGTAACTTTTTGTCTCCTGTTATCTGCTGCTCCAATTCTTCTTCATGAACAGTATCCTGCATGCTCAGTGATAGCTGTTTGTCACTCTGGAGATGCCTTGCACGTCACCATGTGGAGAATTCTCG